GCCCAGACCGGACCAGCGATCTCTGGACTGTAGGGTTATAATATAATCTACCCGTTATGTCTTTACTGGCAGAGCCACATAAAAATAATAATAATAATTCCTTATAAATATATAGCGCTTTTCTGGACACTCCAGTCAAAGCTCTATACAGGTAATGGGGATCCCCTCCACCACCACCAGTGTGTGGCCCCACCTGGATGATGCACCAGTCCGCTCCCCACACACCAGCTCTCAGTGGGGAGGAGAGCAGAGGGATGAAGCCAGTTCAGAGAGGGGGGTTATTAGGAGGCCATGACTGGTGAAGGCCAGGGAGGAGAATTTGGCCAGAACCTCTTTTAGGCTGAGCCTGGACCGGGACCTCCCTCTGTCGTGTGTGCATGCCCAGCCCAGCCCAGCCCAGCCACGAGGTACCAGTTGTGTGCGCAGGCCGGCGCTCTCACTCACCACGCCCTCGGGGTCCACCAGCAGCAGGTGCTTGGGGTGCCCGGCCTGCAGCCCCGTGAGGACGTACTGCCCGGGGGTGGTGGTGCTCTCCCGCACCAGGAAGTCCCCGTCGGCGCGCAGCAGGCGCTCCGCCTCCCGCCGGCTCAGGCTCCCGTGGAACCACACCTCGCAGCGCAGCTGTTCGGCCACAGAGGGCGCCGCCGGGTTGCGCAGGGCGTCCTCGAAGGGCTCTGCAGGAGAGAGGGGGCGGACTGGAGCGCGCTTTCACAGTCCGCGGGCCGGGGAGAAGGGAGACACACACGGCGGAGCGGAGGCGGGATCGAGCGCTGGCGTTGGCGCGGCCGAGCGGACTCACTCATGTCGAAGGCGTCCCTGTGGGCGTTCCCGTTGGCCGCCGCCGCCGCGGCCGGAGCGCGGGGCTTGTCCACGTTGACGTAGGAAGGGTCGTCAAAGAGGTCAGGGCGCCCCCCGTCCTTCACGCCCACTGGAAGAGAGAGGGAGAGGTGGATGCGCGCTCCGGAAGAACGGGCGGCGCTCGAGGGGGAGCGGAACGGAGACGACGCACCTGGCAGGGGTGGCAACGGCTGTTTGTGTCCATCTGTCTGTCCAGTCTGTCCGAAGGGCTGCAGAGACAAAGTATTACAGAGCCTGACTGACAGTTCCTTCTCAGCTTTGCAAATAAGCAGTAATAGCACAGTAGAACAGCCCAGTTACAACAGGGGCTACAGTCCCAGTCCAGTAGAACAGCCCTGTTACAACAGGGGCTACAGTCCCAGTCCAGTAGAACAGCCCTGTTACAACAGGAGCTACAGTCCCAGTGCAGTAGAACAGCCCTGTTACAATAGGAGCTACAGTCCCAGTCCAGTAGAACAGTCTGTTACAATCGGAGCTCCAGTCCCAGTCCAGTAGAACAGTCTGTTACAATCGGAGCTCCAGTCCCAGTGCAGTAGAACAGTCCTGTTACAACAGGAGCTACAGTCCCAGTCC